CTGTGTATAGTACTGAGTGACGTACTACATTGTGTATGTCATGTTTGTACCTGTATATAATACTGAGTGACGTACTACATTGTGTATATCATGTTTGTACCTGTATATAGTACTGAGTGACGTACTAAATTGTGTATGTCATGTTTGTACCTGTATATAGTACTGAGTCACGTACTACACTGTGTATGTCATGTTTGTACCTGTATATAGTACTGAGTGACGTACTTCATATTGTATGTCATGTTTGTACCTGTATATAGTACTGAATGACGTACTACAATTTAGATGTCATGTTTGCATCTGTAAATAGTATTGATTGACTTACTACATTATGTATATCATGTTTGTACCTGTATATACTACGGAGTGACGTACTACATTATGTATGTCATGGTTGTACCTGTATATACTACTGAGTGTCGTAATACATTTTGTATGTCATATTTTTACCTGTATATACTACTGAGTGACGTACTACATTTTGTATGTCATGTTTGTATCTGTATATACTACTGAGTGTCGTACTACATTTTGTATGTCATGCTTGTACCTGTGTATAGTACTGAGTGACGTACTACATTTTGTATGTCATATTTGTACCTGTATATACTACTGAGTGACGTACTACATTATGTATGTCATGTTTGTACCTGTATATACTACTGAGTGATGTACTACATTTTGTATGTCATGTTTGTACCTGTATTTAGTATTGAGTGACGTACTACATTTGGTATGTCATGCTTTTACCTATATATACTACTGAGTGACGTACTACATTTGGATGTCATGTTTGTACCTGTATATAGTACTGAGTGATGTACTACATTGTGTATGTTATGTTTGTACCTGTATATAGTACTGAGTCACGTACTACATTTTATGTCATGTTTGTACCTGTATATACTACTGAGTGACGTCCTACATTTTGTATGTCATGCTTGTACCTGTATATAGTACTGAGTGACGTACTACATATTGTATGTCATGTTTGTACCTGTATATAGTACTGAGTGACGTACTGCATTTTGTATGTCATGTTTGTATCTGTATTTAGTATTGAGTGACGTACTACATTTTGTATGTCATGTTTGTGCCTGTATATAGTACTGAGTGACGTACTACATATTGTATGTCATGTTTGTATCTGTATTTAGTATTGAGTGACGTACTACATTTTGTATGTCATGTTTGTATCTGTATATAGTACTGAGTGACGTACTACATTTTGTATGTCATGTTTGTACCTGTATATAGTACTGAGTGTTTGTGATCATAGTGATTATATGTCTATGTTTCTTGCATGAGTGGCATTTTGTACTGCTATTGTGTTTGTAGACTAAAACAGGATATTGTATGGTTTGTTATACTGTCAGTTAAGATAGTTGTCTCTTGTCGTTCTGTTTTGTTTTCTCCTAGGATTCTGACATTTTCTTAATGACTTAAAATTTGTCATTTTGGTGTTAAATTTTTATTGGTTATAAAAACAAATATATATAAATATATCTCAATGGTTGAAATGATGGCGCAGATCAATTGTAGTTCCTTCATTGATTCCTAAGCAGTATACACAGACGAAAGCCTCCGATTCCGCATGGGTTCTAGCTTTAGAATGTTCATGTATATGCTAATAGTATTAATTGTATATGGGGCAAAGAAGTAATTCCAACAGTGTGGACAAGTTTAGGTTGTCAAATTTTCGGAGCGGTCCGCTCGTTTATCAAGACACAGTGAAACAGAACAATTACATGTACATATACATCATATTACAAGAAGAAATTAATTGTATATACATGTACTGTAAAGCGCGTTAGAGCTGCTTATCTTGTAGCTAGATAGGGCGCTATATAAAATGTTGTATATCTTTTTCATTTATTTATTATTAGTCACCACTTACGATAACACAGTAGAAATACGCACTTTGTTTTAATGTTTGATGACGTCAGAAATGTCGTTGCATAACATTACACGGTGATCAGGATCATTGTTTTCTCATGTTTTGATCGATTGAATTAACACAAATTATGTGAATGTGTTGATCAACAAAATGTACAACTAAAAGATGTCTTAATGGTTGTCTTTATTACAAAAGTTCAGTTATGAAAAGTTATGAAAACACATTTTATGACACAAGTAGTATTGACATTATTTACATCAATGTTTTATCAATATCCAACAATATATACACAAACAAATAATAATTACAAAACATGAACTGTATATATATAGGATCCTACATGAGTTTCCATTTCATATGAGATTTATGAAACGAGTCTAAGAATTGTTCAATTTAGCGAGCCTCTAGCGAGCTAAAATGAACTTGGTGACGAGTTTCATAAATTTCATAGGATTTGAAAACGAGTGTAAGATCCTTTTTATCACATACTCAAGATTTGTGGCCTTTATTTGTGTAGAACGACAATTTTCATGCAACCTTAAAATGAAAAAAACGCAATTTTGACTTCAGTGCATAAGTTTGTGACGTCATGTACTTGTCCTAGGCGTCACGTCACAATTGAAACAATTGAAACTTACAACCAATCACTGGGCTGATAGATCTTTATACATGGGTTAATACTCAAAAAATATGACATGGGTATATTCATATATAACACAGTATATTATGTGATAAAAAAGGAATCCGGAATAAATTTCTTGACATATCGATATTGGTGATGTCATCAAACTAACGCAACCTCGCTGACGTAGACCAACATTCAGCTACAAGCAATCTGCAGGGAGATTTTAACAAACGAGGGATAAGAAAACAGGTTGGCAAAACAGATATCTGGTATGTAATAATGTTTAGTAATATTGCGACGTTATTGAAAATATTTACGTTACTAAATTTAAATGAAGTAGACATAGCTAAATCATTATATGGTGAACTACCGATTATAACCTGTCTTTATCACCATGTCACTATGACATAGATATATTTTCCTCCCACCCTTCACATGTGTGTCTCCCTTTAAAGCCGGAAAAGATCATCTTGTCACTCCCTAGGGGGAGATAGCCTCGTGCATAACAATAGTATGCCGTCACGTTATCAATGTATTGACGTCACGGCAACAGTACAGCAGGCCATGGAAGACAACTATGGATTTATTGGAAAATCATGCAATCTATACTTGTATTTCACGCAATCACCGTTTGTCGGCGGATTTGTGAGTGAAACAGGATGGGTGAAAAACAATCTCCCCTTCCTTGAGGGCGTGACAGAGAAATCTCCAAGCCGAGTGATGATATTCTCGAATGTCTTACCCTCGGCTTCTTGTTTAGGGTAAGACATTCGAGAATATCATCACTCGGGTTGGAGATTTTTCTGTCACACCCCAACGGTAGGGGAAGATTCTATTAATCACCAAGAAAAAAAAATATAAAGTATAACAATAATGACTACAACATATACAATGTAATTATTCAACTAAGACTCGGAATGAGATTCATCCATTTGATAGGTATAATATATGCTAAAATTATTTAATCACAAATATCAATTTAAAGTTCCTATTGTGAGCGTTAGAAAACGTCTGATCTCTTTGTCAGTGTGTCTCGACTGTACAGCTAAAAACAACTCACTAAATCAAAATGAGTCAGAAGGGTCAGCTGTCGGAATGATATCACGACAATTCGTCCAAATAACATTCAAATAATGATATTGTAGGCAGTCAGAGGGACAGATAATATGAGGGTTAGGTAAACCTATAACCGATTCGTCGGACACCTGCAGTATAAGAAGTTATTAGGACAAACTGTCTTAAAATTATTCTGACAGTCGAGTTTGCTGACTGGACACATTGTGGTTAATGCGTTGTTTTCAATAAAATAGATTCGAGACACCGATCATTTGCACTCTTTGCTTGACAAAGGAAACAGACGTTTTCGAAAGCACGCCAATTAAAAGCTCAACTACTGTTTGTATTCAAAGCTAACTTAGCTTAAATTCAACGAAGACATATAAAGATTATTATGACTTAGACATGTGAAATATAACATCATCACTAAGATGAGAAAGGGATATTAAATTTAACTAAGAAATGAAAAGTTGTTGCAGAAAAGTACACATTAAGGCACGTAAGCGATAAACACACAACTAAGACATATATTTTAACTGAAAATCGAAACGTGCACGTAATAGACTTAAAATTACGACAATTAAAATGTGATAATACAACTGGAACATAAAATACATGCCTATGTAAGCAATGTGACAGTTTTAAGTAAGGGAACCACCCAACTCAAAAGATAAATATTTATGAAATAAACTTATACATAAAAGACAAACAAGAGCCTGTGCATGAGGATTAGGACTGACATATCAATTAACTATATATGCATTACAGTTTCAAACTCACAAGCTAACAAATTCAAAACTAAGACAGACCAAGTACATGAGGTAATAATCACACACTGTCACAACATACAGTGACACATTCGTAATGCAATGTACAACGACAATATCACTATACACCATGATGTCTGCCAGCAAGTCTACAGAGAAATTTTAAATTACAATCGATCTAAGACACTTAATAAATCTTTAATCATAATACATGTACCAGGTCGTAGTGACAAGTGTATATTGTTTCAGCGTTAATTGCATTTGTTCTGTCAGGAAAACATGGCTACGGTGAGTAAGTGATAAACACATAAATAATTTGTACGAAAACCATTGATACGATAACTCACTGATTTTTCTTTATGATCATGCACTTTAGGATCCCTGTGCCACTGTTACGTTAAAAACTGATACATTGCAATTTTCTTTTCTATTTTGATAAGCATTTTATTTAAAGAAGCCCATACCAGCCAAGGATTGAAATATGGACCTCATATCATTATATTGCATATGGTTAACAGTTATACCCTCTCCCGATCGCAGAACAGTTGTATCCAAAAATAAAATAACACGAAGGTTTATGTATTTACGAAATTGTAAGTGCAGATTATCTAGTACTTTGCCTGTGCTTGGACAGGGATCCTTAATGTTCATAAAACCTTTCATGTAAGTAGGTCGAAGACAGGCCCCTTAATCTGTTATAACACATTTACAAATACGTAGCTTCACAAATAGGTATGATATATACGTTATCTTTATTCTTTTGAGTGCATTCATTAACCTGATTCGGTGATGCTGTATCTGTATCTACTGATTCATGTTCAGTTTCAATCGGACTTTCAAGTGTGGTTCCAAAACGAGGCTCATCAATGATTATGTTTTCATCTCGAGTCGAATTCTTCTGGGAAGGACATGACGTATTACGTCCCAAAACACGATGAAAAAGAGGCTCTGCTGTCACAATGAGTCCGGCCACGGATACAAACATTCCAATGATACGGAATGATAAGTCCCAGGATCCCGTGGTATCTTTTAACCAACCTGCAAGAGTTGTTCATCATATAACGTTTGTAAATCTAAGATGTAAATGTATGAAAACAAAATATTCCGTCTTTGCGTATTGCAGAGTTATCTTCAATTGGGAGCAGGTATTTATTGTTACGTCACTTGTTTGTGAGAGTAACGTCATCAATTTTTGAGAAAACGACGTCATTTTATCGCACAAACCAATGACGTAACAATCAATACCTGCTCCCAAGAGAAGATACCTCTGCAATACGCAAAGACGGAATACATATACGACAAAATGTGACCCAAACTGACATTAAACAGTCGTCATTATTCTTGAAGATCATGCGAACATAATATCTGCCAAGTAAAATCTATCAAAATATAAGTGTGCAGTAGAAAAGTAATTCAAGGCTAATTGTAATTAACACATTGCGGGGTCAAAAATTAATTACAACCCTACTGTAGTAAATGGTCTACGATTGTTTTATCTGAGGAAAACACGAAAAGTCTTCCCTTTTTTTTAATATCTTGGTTTTTTTTCTTACCTGCCACTGGTTGACTGAGAACCATGCCAAAAGCCATGAATAGGGACAAAAGACCCATCGCCTTGGACAGCTGTTCGAGTGTGACGCTTTCCAACATCGCCACCGCCATCAGACTCCAGAACGCCCCCGGGAAAGTCCCAACTACTACAGCGTATACTAGCTGCAATAAAAGCATGCAGTGATAAAAGACTTTATAATGATAATTTATAAGATTTGTATATCCATTATCAATTGAAAAAAAGCCTGAACCGATTGAAATATTAGTTTAAGATTACAGTTGTTACATTTCTACACATTCAAAATCTTAATGTATTAATTTTAATATGGATTCAAGCCGATCCTGGCAAAGTTTCGTTATTTAGAATTTAAGTATTAGTTTGATCCCTTTAAACTGCAAGACTTTTCACAAAGTTCATTTAATTTAATAAAAGTTAGTCGCATTGACTGATGAGTTTCATATCTAATCTAACCATGTTTACGTTAAAGCAATAAGGCAAGAACTATATCGAGGTTAAAATGAATATCTTTATTGTGATACATGCTCTGTATTTAATGCTTACCATCATCTCATACGATTCCCATAACGGTAATAAGATGGCGGCTAAACCACTGACAACGGCTGAAAATATCAATATATTTTTGACACTCAACAATTTTAAATCGGCGAACCATCCGAAGAATGGCCTGGCAATCACTTCCGTTGCGCCAATAATTGACATTGCTACGGCTACCTGGTCCTTCCGGTAACCAACTTCCACTATGTAACAAGGAAACGCCGTAAAGTTGCCTCCGTATCCTAAAATATTAACACTAAATGCTAAAACGTACATCGTAAATTTTGGATTCCGGAACAGTGAGAAGTCAAACATGGAACAAAATAAACTTTGTTCCTGTTCGGTTTTATCTCCTTCGTGCGTTACATTATTATTTGTTTTCTGGTCGTCCTGACTGCTTCCATCTGTATTGGTCATTGTAGAATTGTCGTTCAGAGCTTCTTGGTTGAAACTGCCCGTGGCTATCTTTTGTACACTGCCGTTACCATCGTTCGTTTGTGCACGATAATCGATTGCTTCACATGCATGCGTATGTACCCGTATTATACTTTTATCGGCTCCCAGTAAATAACAATTACTTTGTGACCTCAATATGCTTTGACTTTTTCCACGCTTGGGTCTTTTGACATCTCTCCTCTTGGTGAGTTGAGCTGGCTCCCTCAGAAGGAGTGCCACGAAGGGTACGTACATTAGGACCCCACTCACGATAATGAGTGATGTCCGCAGTCCAAAGCTGTCCAAGATAATGCGGTAAAAATAGGGGTACATAACACTGCCTAATCCAGCTCCCGCCAGTACCACGCCCATGGCCATAGCACGCCTCTTCTCGAAATAAAAACTGACGATAGTGGTACTTGGTGCAAACACCAACCCACAGCCACTGCCTGAAATAAACATTAACGTATGTATACCTCTCCGTTGAAACTAAAACAGTTCTAACATGACCATGAAAGAAAATTGATGACATTTAGATTAGTTTTACCGATTTGTTATTAAATGTACAAATACATATTAGTTGCACATATACAAACCAATATGCTATATACCAATTAAATGTGATATGCCTATATCAACTATACGATTTAAGTCATTAGGTAAACAAAACTGTACTCAACTTCGTAACTGACGCTTGTGCTAGTTACCCATTAAATACTTTTAAACCCATCCTCTAGTTTAATCATGTTACGTTGTGGCCGTAATCAAAATAATGACCGACTCCGTATATAGTATTTACAACTACATGTTTATTGCTACATGTACATGGCTATGGTGCCGCAGGATACAGTTACAGAGTACAGAGTACAGGGTCAGTATACACCTGTGTAATATCCATGATCAGGGCCTTGGCTGATAAGCCTTGACACGAGTGCAGTTAATTAAAATACAGGTCGGTCTCAAATTCCGTCTTTGCGTATTGCAGAGTTATCTTCTCTTGGGAGCAGGTATTGATTGTTACGTCATTGGTTTGTGTGAGAAAATTACCATCGTTTTCTCAAAATTTGATGACGTTACTCTCACAAACAAGTGACGTAACAATCAATACCTGCTCCCAAGAGAAGATAACTCTGCAATACGCAAAGACGGAATTGATCGTATTACTGTCGTTTAGGTTAATAGCTGGATATCACAAATCATATCATTTAACTACTGTTATCATCCTTAAAACCCGCACAATTAAAATGACTGACTTTAACAACAGGAACATGTTATTATAAGGCTGTGAGGTATATAAAAAAAAGACACCATACCCGCTATAACACCAATGGTCAGGTACATCCACTCCATCTGTGGTACGAAGGCGCTCAGGAAATGTCCCAGTGAGGTGAGGAACCCCCCTACCATAATCACTTTACGGAACGTAAATCGCACTGCAAGCCTGTTGGATACGGGTCCTTTCAACAGAAATATCTTTTACTTGCACATTATTTTATTATGTTTATGTTAACATATAAGTACGTTTTAAAACATTGACTAGATTATATTGATTTTCGTGTAAAGGCACCATACGTAGAGGAGCATTTGACAAAAAGCCTGCAACCATGAATCATTGATCATACTAGCGTTCTTGTTACTCACTTAAATCATGAAAAACAATCCAAAAGTCAAATCTTAGATTTGAAATCAGTATTCGGCTTCAAGCCTCTTTAACGATTTATCAAATCATTAAAAAAAAAATATTTTTATATCAATATATAACTGAAACAAGAAATAAGGCTTGATCACAAAGTCCAATCTTGAACATGATAACAGTTTCATGAATACGGGCCCAGTTTCGTATATTGGTACTGTACAAAACAAAGGACTGTGGATAGTTCGCATTTTTGATCTCCACACTCCATAACATTTTCATTAAACTTAATAAAGTGAATTATGAAACTTTATAAAAAAAAAACATGAAACAAATAATGCTTTTTAATTTGAATATTTTTTCTAATACTTTTTGAAAAGATTTATTTAGTTTTGAATAACATAAAATCAAATTGAATATTCAGTCGTTTTTGTCAATTTTTTAGTTGGGTTTCGATTGAAAACGATAGAATATAAGCTTGAACAAACTTGACATCAAAGGAGAATGCGTTGACATATAAATATAGATATAAAGTTATTTAGAAATGTATTCCCTGTGGTTGCAAAGAATAAAACATGACTAAATTGACTGAATATAACATTTCACTAAATGATGCAAATTTAAACAGGCTACCGTGACAACAAGACTTGAAAATACAAATAAACTAAATATTTTCATAATAGTACAGTATTCGTTAAGTATTTAAAAAAAAAAAAAAAGTGTAAAAGTACTATGAATTTTTGTGGAATAGGGGTGGGAGTAGGGGGGGGGGGACGAATTGCCAAGACCATACCGAAATAGTGTTCAGGTTTGATATAACGAATTATTTTACGGGTTTTTTCAGTTCATTGACTATTGAACTACAAATAAACATACCCAGGCCAAAGAACAGAAACATCATAACACCACCAATCCAGGCTGTACTTCCGGCGCTCGTGTCGAACTCTTTTATCAGTTCCGTGTACAGGATCCCGAAGGCTTTGGCCATCCCGGACATCACAACGTATATGCTTGAACAAGCTGCAAAAGAAATATCTAACATTTGTTTCATCTCCTCCCATAATTCATTCTTCTAACAATGTTTTTATCATTTTGTTTTATCTGGGCCGCTTTCATTTATGGCGTTCCACACGGTTTGGCCGGTTGGACTATAGTTATTTGTTTAGAATGAATACGCCTCTGGTTTTGTCGCTACAGAGTACCATTATCTGAAGCCATAATTTTTGTGTAATCGTCATTTGCTCTGAGGTGTGTTCTGCGAAATTTTTTGTATCAATGCTGTTCTATAAGATTTAGTTTTTTATCTATTGTTTTGATCACAATCATGTGTTTTTTTTAAATACTTAAATACATAAAATATAAATGTGACATCTTCATAGAGGAGTAAATTATCTGATTTATTTATTATTAATTAATTTATTAATTATAATATCGTATTAAATAATCCGACCTTTTTTTCAGCGTCCAATACCAAAGCAGGCTAAGTTGTTTCAGCTAGTGTGTTAATTTTAGATTTTACAAATGTTATTCTTCATTTCATTTCTTTTTAAATAAACATTGTAAGCAAAAGATAATGTTGAACTATTAAGAATGACAATGAAAAGAGAAAAAGTTTATTTCAGAGACATGTATTTATATAAGGTGTAAAATGATTTTTGCTTCCTAACAAAATATGATACATTGTAGCATAATGCTCTTTTAGACAGTATAAATATTGTTACGGACAGGAAATAATGCTAATCTTCAAAGTTTATGAGGATGAATTGCTTTATTAAGAAAACGAATCAATTTACAATTTGTGGTTCAAATGAAGCGAATAACGGCCAATGACTTTTATGATTGTAAACGATATTTATGTATTATACTTAGAAGACGTACATTGTATGCAGATTGTACGATAGCTACACTGGAGACATTAACCGCTAAATACATGTAGTTGGTTGAAGTAACATCTGTTAACAGTAATAAAACTATACACCACAAAGTGGAGACTTCCATCATGGGCGTTTAGCCGGAGTTAAAAATACCGCTTAAGTGAAGAAATGATGTATGCGGTATATATAACTTTTATTGACAGTCTTACATGTCGGTATAGTGTCTGACTTCTACTCAACCTCAAAATGTAGCCGGAAATTAAACGACATACCTTTGAGGGACATTTGCTACATTAAGATGATACTTCATTAACGAATCCGGGAAAGTTAACATACACTGTACCACATATTTTAACAACGAAAATGGCGGCTGAGTTATGTTTATTTAACGGTTGTTCGCTGTCTTTCACATTTTACCTGTGATTTGTGTCAGAGTAAAGGTTATATGCTAGCTTTTCAGTGAAGCTTGCAATTTTGTAATTTATATTAAGTTAAGGTTATAAATGATGCTATCTTACATTGGGAATAGGCCTACTATAGCTCTTTGCATTTTATTCGTTGTATCCCGCCTCCCCTTAAACCCACCCTCAACCCCATCTTCCTACGTAGGTTGGTTTTGTTTACGTCCTCTTAACAGCTTTGGTCATTTAAGGACGTGCCAGGTTTTGGTGGTGAAGGAAAGCCGGAGTTCCTGGATAAAAAAAAAACACCGACCTACGGCCAACACCGGCCGTACACCGACCTACGGCCAGTACCTACAGATGTACCTACGGCCAACCCTACCTACGATGGAACAAGGGTTGTTTTATGTGTCTTCTTGACTTTGAGCAAACGGCAGATTAGAAAAAATAAAAAATGATTTGCTTTCACTTGCTAAACTTTGGATATATTTCTTTTCTTTTGTCACTGTTCTATTTTGTCTCTATTCGGCGTTGTCTCCCTTTAACCTCGCCAAGCAGAGAGCTTTAAGTTATACAGTGTTTTTAGTTACGACCAGGTCACGGATCACAGTTTATGCTCAGTTTACAGTGCGATAAAGGCAGTGTTTATACGAGCACGTGTCAACAGTTTACGGAGAGTATATTTTTGTGTGTAATAAAAGTGTACTCTGTATCACAGAGGAGACGTTCCCTGACAGAAAGATCTACTTTAAACGGAAATGGCAAGGATAAAATCAACATAGATATCAAGCGGTCCTACAGTACTACATACTGAACTTTCATCTTGATGCCAATGCCAGTAAATACCTACTCAGTATAAATAATAATAATATAGCGCCCTATCTAGCTAACATAAGCCACTCTAAAGCGCTTTACAGTACATAGATATACAATTAATACAATTAGCATATATACATTAATCAATACAATTTTGAGGAATTCGCAGGAGCCGCCTTATCAGGCGCTAATTACTAGTCCTATGCTAGCTGGCTGTTATCTCCCTATATGTTTGTATGGCTTCGCGAGTGCTGGAGATGTAATGTGTTTAAAACTATAAATATGGTATTACAGAAATATAGGATTGTTGATATATTCATTGCACGTAATACCGATGATCAATTACCGCAAAATGAAAGATAAAATCTTGCCAAAAGACGCAATTAAGACCCAGAGAAAACCTCGTTTTTTAAAACAAGGGGAAAACTCCAAGTGGCAAAAAGGAAGTGGAAGGACACTTTTTCCACTTTTTAAACTTTTGCATTAGTACTACCTACCCTTACAGTCACATAGAGTCAAACAATGGAAAGTACCAATTGGTAAAAAGTAGATGCTATGAGTGAAATTGGAATCGACGAAGCGTTTCACTAGTAAGAAGGGAAGGGGAAGTTTAACGTTCTTCTAAGGTACAAAATTGAAGAAAATCACTTTTTTTTTTACTAAAAAATGAAGGAACATTTCCTAAAATATGAAAATCGTGGGTCTCTGTCATGGGTAATAAAAACCTGTCATGAACGTTGTATATACACATTCACACAAGAGATTGCTCATTGGAAATTTAGTAAAAGATGCAGTATGACAAAAATGAATTACACCAAATTATACAGCTGTTTGGTCCGTCTAAATCTCATCGGTGATGCTGGGGCCAAACAGTTGGATATCAAATAAGTCTGAGCAACTAACTTATGAAACAGAAGGGAAGATGCATACAAACGATTAATTTATTAATTTCAAAATATTAGAGTTTGGTTAATTTCAAATCATTTACAGTAAAGTGTGTACATTATGAACCATGTCACTACTCAAAAGAGAGTTCTGTGTCGTCTATCAAGGCTACGACAAACCTCTGGGGCTAGACATTGATCCACCAGCAACGTCTAATTTACATTGAAACGCAAACATTTTACATGATAGATTAAGTAGCAATAACAATAATAACAAAGTTTTTTTGGCTTTGACCTACTCACCGAATAGAATTACCCAAGCATATCCTTTGTCCATGACTGCAATGCTTTGTTCCACAACCATTGTCAGAGATGGTTTCTTGAAAAATCTCAAACGTCAGAATATTCCGTTCGTACAAGGCGTTCGTACAAGGCTTATTCCCGCGCTATACAATGTGCATTAACAGCAATAAAATTATTTTTGTGGTGTTTGTCAATTTAAAGATGATGCTTAGCCTCATAAAACGTTATTTGTTCAGTCAATGACAGACTGTTCAGGTAGATACATATGCATACTGCAATATACTGTACCGTTATAATAAGAACACGAAAACCAAAACTCGTGCAAAGAAACCACATATGTTACGATTGAAAATTAGTAATGTAAAGATAAAATTCGCGTTAAAAAGTATTCATTCAGAAATCTGTGTTGGTATCGTCAAAGCAAAACAGATAAATGCAGACAGCCAGATGTCCAAAATGGATGTAAATGTATGCGCAGTTGTATATATACACATGCGTGTCAAAGTTTTCTAAAAATACATGCGGGGGTCAGACTTGTTAAGGTGTTCATGTTTCTAGCTACGTTATGTCCGCGTATTTTCCTGTCTACGTTTAGTGACGTCACGGAGAGTTGTGCTGAAATACAGAGCTATGACTACAGAAAAATAATCAGGATAACGTGAATGCCGTTCAAAAACATTGTTCAAAATTCATCGCAAGTTAGTTTAAACATATTTTTTGCTAGAAATGTTACAACATGATCAATACCCACTATAAAACTAGTCTAAGAAGTGTTAACATTCTTGAGCATCAGTAAATTTCTGTCCCATAAAGCTAAACAAAAAGCATATTTATTTCCTTTTACTTGTCTGAAAAATAAGGGCAGGAAGGGGAAACAAATGTAACAATGCTGTGTATTTGTTTCATTTTTGAGACGCTTGATTTTAAAAAGTGTTATCATTATATATGCACTCGTTTTCATTTTATATGAAATTTATGAAACTCGTCACGAATTTTTCATTTTAGCTCGCAAGAGGATCGCTAAATTGAAAAATTCTCGTTTCATAAATCTCATATGAAATGGAAACTCATGTTAGATCCTATATATATCTTAATGTTAATTTATAGTACACATTGGGACAGCGTGTTCTCATAACTTCCGCTTTTGAAAAAGACTCGTCTCTAATTAACTCTCTAAAATACACACAACATGAATTGAATACCTTAGTGTAACAAAACTATGACTCGGAATCAAATCCTAATAAACCATGGCAAGCTATAGACACAAGGGAACTGCACACATACACTCGTGAAGAAGTACAAGGAAAATAAAACCAGGTGTTCCAGAAGGGTAAGCGCTCTCTGTTTTATCGACGACATCCGCAATGTATTTGTTTTGTTTTTGTTTTGTTTTTTGTATTGTTTAACGGCTCATCGACAATGTTAGTCATTTAGGACCAACTACACTATAAAAAAATGGAATACATTGAAAGATCAATAGAGTGTAAATAGTCAAATATTAATTGCACAGAAACTGTATCGAATAATCTTTTCATAGACGGTACATAATAAAATCAGTCACGTAATTTAAATCTATGCCAAATCGAATTATCGTATGTTATAACCGAATAACAGATTGAATATATTGATAGCAAAATGTCAAAGTTAAATGTTGCTGGCACCATTTTGTGCGGGGAAACATATATTTTATTTCTCTATTCTCATGGGGTCCTAAATCAATTTACTGGAGTAAATTTAGTTTATCAGTGTATTAGATATATACCGCATCTGCTACTATGCAATACATTAACACCA